AACTGCCACCACCATCTCTACTGCAATATCAACAGAATCCTGCATTTGAACACCTCTACTCTTCCTGTTACTACTGGCAGATTTCTTGAAAGTCATATCAATGTGCTATCCCCATTTCCTTGCCTCCCACTCATTCCTCTTCTCCCTCCAGCCTGACTTCCATTCCATAATGCCACCAAACAGTTCCTGTTAGATGAGAAAAAAGTTCATGTTTTAATATACAATCGAATAACTATTTTATCTTCTTAGAAACTTCATGATTGATGGCTATTCCTTTAACGTAATATGTTTCTAGGTTTTTGTGACCCAATTCACTCCTGATTTTACTTGTGCCTCTTTAATTGCTCTTCATTACCCTCTGAAGACTCATCTTTCCCCATCCGTCACCATGGACTCTGCTGAAGTGCCACATGGCTTTTCTTGCTTGATTTTCTCTTCCTAGATGATTTCTTTCACTCCCAGAACTTTAGTTAGCACTTACACTCAGATGACTCACCAATCTGTATCTTTAGCTTAAACCTCTCTCCTGGATCAGAAATTGTATACCCAGATATTTACCTAACATCTTCTGTATGTCACAACTTCATGCCTAACTCAACATGTACAAAATGAAATGCAAAATAATTTCTGCATGATCTGATCATATTCCAGTGTTCCCTAATACAATGTTCCCCTATTTTTTCTGTGTTACATATTAGAAATTAAAGCATCATCCTTGACACTGCTTTTTATTCCTCCCTTCACAGGCAATCCACCACTGATCCTATGGGGAGAATCTCCTATACAAGTTTCTAATCTAAACATTCCTCTCTTTCTAGTTCATTGCCACTGTACCTAATGGTACCAGCATCTCTCATGTAGCTTTCTGCTGTTGTCTTCTAACTGATCCACACTGTCTTCTCTGCCTTCTTCAATTCATTCTGTACACTTGAGCCACAAAGATGCATTTTTGAAATGCAAAACAAAAAAAATCAAACAAAACAACCACCTTTCAATTAGTTCCCACAGCTCTTAGGATGAAGACAAAACTCCTTAATTGGACTTATCAATCTTTCTAACCTTATCTTCAACTGTCTCACCTGTAATCCCTCTGCTCGAGCCATAATACCTTTTAAAATCTCCCCTGCCTACCCAGTTGCTGTAACTTCCTTTCACCACAGAGCCTTTGCATGTCTTGTTCTTTGTAAAGCTCTGTGTTCACTTGGTTAACTCCAATTGAAGCAGCACTTCCAAAGGAAAGGAAAGGAGAGGGGAGGGGAGGGGAGGAAAGAGAGGGTAGGGGAGCGGAGGGGGAAATGAAAGGAAGGGGGAAAGGAAAGGACAAAGAAAAGGAAAGAGGAAAGGAAAGAAAGTCTTTTCTGATTTTCCTATTATACCCTCTCATACACTGTCTACTTCCACACTTCTGGAGCACTTCTCACTGTTGCAATTTGGTATTTGTTTGCTTATTTGATGAATGTCAACTTCTTCCTATTGAACGTTGTGATTCATGAAGGCACAGTTATGCATATGTGCCTACTCTGTGCCTGGTGCCCAGCACTGTAAGCACTCAAAAACACTTGTTGGATAAAGACTAAATACAGGAATTTAAGAAGAGCCAGCATTCAGGCTCAGTACAAACTAGACAGGATAATAACATGCTTTAGACCAAGCTTATCAACATTATAGGATCAACATTTTATTGCTACTATTACTACAACTTCCAGGACCATGACTTCTTCAACCAGTCTCACTGCTGCTACTGCTTCCAATAACATTAACAGCCCACCAAGGCATCCACTGTGAACTAGTAAATTAAAGCCATGTTATACTCTTATAACTGATCTTAATAACTACAAATTTTAAAATGCACCAAAATCTTACAATCTGAAGCATTATGGGATCCAGTAGCATTCAAATGAATGAAATCTAGATTATGACAATCCAAGGCTTAACTCAGAGAACTGCATTTCTTGGAGTGACTCAAAAGCTCCTAACCTAGGAGGAAACCTTGTCAAGTGAAAGCGGAAAAGAGGCAAACCCCACACTGCTTATTATATTTCCACTCTTGTCCACAGCCTCAGAGCACTAAGACACACACAGAGACAAAATATTTTGAAAAGAGAACAGAATCCTTTCACATCTAGGCCCTTGGGGAACATGGGAACAGGATTTAGACACACACTGTGTTGTGAGTAGACATGAGAGAATGATTCAAATGGCAACAGAAAAGAAACAGGAAGAGATGATCAACCCAAACACCTCAAGTCCCTCAGCATTTTCAAATTAGGTTCTTATGCACCACTTCAATTTGCATTTGTTTATGTACTACATAAGTGTTTGCACTTCAGGTGTGCTTTGCTTACCCAACTAGCTTGTAAACTTAAAGATTGCACAGGGGCCTAAGAGGAAAACTGTACAAGTGACAGGAGAAGAAGCAAGAGAAGATCGAAAGAGTAAAGGGTAAAAAGGAAATATGCTATTGGTTGTGAACTTGACAGAGCTCTCAGATGGCAACTGCCTCCTTTTAGTCAGCTGCCTACTCTGTAGCTCCACACCAGGCTAACATTTTTGGTCACTCTGTGGTAAAGGATTTGTTTCCCCCTTCTGTTTTGCTCTTTTCTATTTTACTCCCTTTGTACCCAAAAACACAAATACCAGAACCATTTCTCTAACACTGAGGCCATTGCTTTTCATCTGATTCAGATGACAGCAGCAAAGTTACGATCAGAAGACTGGAAATTTTCCAACCACAAAAAGTATAGATATGGTGTCTGTCTCTCCAGTGATCTGCAGTTTTTAGTAGCTACAAGCTTACCTCCCTTGGTTCTCTTTATTTTAAGAAATTCATTTTCTTTAAAGGCAACACCATTCTTCTTTCTGGATAATATACTATCTGTTCTCCATTGCTGTCTTCATTTTGTGGCATCACGTATTCTATTTCCTATAAAAGGTACATCAATCCATGTTGCCAAGTCTCAATGAAGGAAACACTAAGTCCTCAGTGAGGCAACAGTATTGTTTACTGGTTCAGGCAGAATGTACCAAAAAATCTATGTATGAAGCCAAGGTCAATGTGTACTTGTGCTAATATTACATGGCAAATGTCTTACTGGGTTCCAAATGAGGTCAATGTATAAAGAGAAGGAGCAGGGCTCATATTTAATCAGAACTGAGAAACAGAATTTGCTCAATATAATTATTACTACTCTTCATTGAAAACTACCATTTACCAAACTCTTATCCTTTAGCAGGAACTATACATTTAAGTGCATTACACAGATTATCTCATTTAATCATCAAGCTAGTGATACCTATAAAGAAAGTACTATAATTATCCATATTTGTTATGTAAGAATCTTGAAAAACTTGGGAATGATGAAACGTATAGTAAATGATAGAGCCAATGTTCAAACACAGGCTACCTGAATCAAAGTATGTGTAGCTAAATAGTGTTCTACGTAGGTCTTCCATTTCTCTTTACTTCAATCCCACTCCACTCCATCCTTAATTGAACGAAGTGTGTGTGTAGTGTGCTTTCTGGAAAACAGCAAGGGAATTGGGCATTGTAAGATAGTAGTTGTTCGGACCTTGGCCTATAGGTGGACTGTTCCAACAGCATATTTTTAGAGCAAGTAAATTATAAGACATGGAGAGGAGGTAATAAATCCATATCTGTTGCTTGTTCTGGGCAGCTCTATGTCCCCTTTAATATGATCCTCACGAGTTATTTTTTTTTTGTTATATTACCAGGTCACTTTGCCCTGAGTCAGAACTAGTCCACTGCCAGTGCATTTTGCATTTGTTGGCTTTCACTTTCATTGTTTTCCACTAGCAGAAATGAAAATCATTTACTTTAGGGCCAGGTAATTTAGAGCAGGCATTATTATAATCATTTTCCAAATAGGCTCAGATAATTTACATGATAGGCCCCAAGTCAAATTTATTTCTATTCGGAAAGGAGCTAGAACTTAAATCTAGGATTCCCGCTTCTAAATGCAGGCCTCCAGAGTATGTTGGTGTGAATGCTGCATGGCGAGCAGCCTCGTTTGCCCCTTTACCTGCCCTAGACTAAATGTTGTATACCCAGAACCACTTTCATAAATTCACCCACAAACCTTCCCTCACAGTGAATAGCACCACCATTCAGGTGTGCATGCCAGACACCCAGTTGTCACCTTCAACTTCTTTCTCTCCTTCACTCATACTGCCCTTATCTTATATTCACTCTATGATCATATCTGTTTTATGCCCAATGCACAAAATTTGCCACTTTCCTTCTGTATCTACCTGAACTACCACTCTCTCTTTTCTGGGCTACTGAGATGGTCTCCTGAGTTGTCTCCACCTGCTCGTTCTTGTCCATCTTCACCTCACTTTCACAGGAAAGTCAGTATGATTTTTTTTTAACAACAACAACAAAAAAATACAATCAGCCTATAAATGTCATGCCATCCTTTTGTTAGAAATACTTCTATGTCTTCTCATGGTTCTGAGATCAAAATAGAAACCTTTTAAAAGGGAATCTGACCAGGTTCAACATGATCTAGTCCTTACCTGCCTTAACCTTTAATCGCTGTACTGCTGTCCCATTGGCATTTTCCCATTTCTTCAAACACTCCACAGAGCTTCATGCAAGCTCTTTTCTCTCTCTGGGATTACTCACAATTCCACTCTGCCTCAGCCCCACCCCCTAAATTGTGTTAATGTCTATTCATTCTTTAGACTTCAGCTATGGTGTTAATTTCTCAAGGACAATTTCAATGGCCTCTGTGATGTGCTCCTTCACAAGACTGTTACAGTCTTTATTACTGACGCTTATCACTGCTGCAAGATTACACTTATTTGCTTAAATGCTGTGGTCACTTCCTGTCTCCCTTATCAGACAGTGGCTCTTTCTGCTCAGCCTTTGTATGCTGAGCACCATGCCTAACCCTGCTTTTCTTACAAGGTACATTTGTTGAATGAGAAGAGAGCTGAGTGAAAGCATGTGCTTCCATCTGTCTTCCAGTTATGCTTACCATGTGTCTGAATGAGAAGGTTGTAGATTTTAGTCTGCATGCCCTCTGGATACAGAGTAAGCATACACTCGTACTTTCCACTGACTGAAGAAGACATATTCCTTAAGTGCAGAGTCCATTTTGACCCATTCTCAGGAGTTTGTGTGAAGGTCACCAGTGACTCACAGGGACTCCCATAGGCACAGTGGAAGCCATATTGGGGATGATAAAGAGCAATCAGGTCTGCCTTATCGGTGACCTTGGACCATTGCATCTGCACCAAGAAGCCTTTCGCCTGTGTTTGGCAGGTCAGGTTGACATTAGAGCCAACTGTAGCATAAATGTTTTCTTCTGTGTTGAATGGTTTTCCCCAAACTCCTGAAAAGGAAGAACATGAGCTGTGAGTTTAAATAATTCACATAGAATGACTCTTAATTAAAAACCCTAGTCACTTCAGTAAGGTGAGGGGAGCAACTGAGGAAATTTTTCCCTGACTGCTTTAGGAGTAGAGTAGAGCTTGTGTCTGACTCAGATAGAGACGCATGAGACAACATAAATGAGGAGGCATTTACGTAGAGAAGCTAGAGGAAATTACTGACTTCTAAATATTTATCTGTGTGTTGGACTGACCAAAATATAGTTGAAAGTTTCTAACTACCTGTGAATACAATCAAGCCTATTTGAAAATTGAAGCATACCAGCAAACTTAGTATGACAATTCTTCTTACGTTTAATATAATTGGCTTTTTGGGTTATAAAGCAACAGCTGAATATAATACACACGTGATGCTTTCTGAAACTGCAAAAATAAATGATACGTGTACAGCAATTTATTTGAAAAATACATGTTTACAAGGGTCTTTCATATGTTATCTTGTTTAATCCCCCTCACACGCCACAAGTGATGTTGTCAACCCTTTTTTATCAAGGAAGAAACTGGGGCACAGAGAGATGAAATGGGGTATGCTCAAAGTTACACCTCCAGGCCTGGTGCAGTGGCTCACGTCCGTAATCCCGGCACTTTGGGAGGCTGAGGTGGACAGAGCACGAGGTCAAGAGAACCAGACCATCCTGGCCAACATGGTGAAACCCCGTCTCTACTAAAAATACAAAAATTAGCTGGGCGTGGTGGTGCATGCCTGTAGCCCCAGCTACTTGGGAGGCTGAGGCAGGAGAATCGCTTGAACCTGGGAGGCGGAGGTTGCAGTGAGCCAAGATCATGCCACTGCACTCCAGCCTGGCAACTGAGTGAGACTCCATCTCAAAAAACAAAAAACAAAACAAAACAAAAAAAGTCACACCTCCAGTAAAAGAATGAATTCAGTTACCGAGAGTTTGTGTCTTTCTATAACCCTCATAACTGTCGCAGTAAAACTCCAGCCAAGGAAGACAAAGAGACCTTTGGAGACCAAAAAGAACTTTATTTTATTTGGGCATCCAGGCCCACAGCAGACTCATGCCCAAAATGGCTGCTGACTCTGACAGAGAAAGCAGGCTTGTTTTTATGTCATTTGTGGCGGGAAAACAAGGCAGGATACAGGTTTCAGGCAAAGACAGTAAATTATTTAACTCGTGACAATTCTGAGAAAACTTACGATTTAGCTATCTTGACCAGTCAACCTTAAAGCTGGACAGAGGTGGGATGAGGTAAAACAGGAGTTACAGAAACACAGAGGGGGGTCTGGAGGCAGGCAATAAGCTTGGAAGGTTGAGGTAAGCTCACAGCTAAAACTTGTTAGCAATGCTAGGAGGGGCTACTTAAATTTCTTAGCCTATGTATAACTTCTAAGTAACCTATACTTAATGTTAACTATTACCTATGTTATGTTTATTATTTTAAACTTTATTATTACTTATTTTATTTTATTTTCCTTCCACATAACCCCCAAACTGCCTCCCAAATTCAGTTGATTAGAGTAAGAAATTTCACTTTCAATATATAAGGATTGAAAGGACCTCATCTAACCTTAGGTAGAGGCTTCACTTAGTATCACCTCTAATTGATGGTCTGAAATACTAGACATAAGTAGAGTCTCTTTCCCATCAGCAGTCTGACCAAGTGATACAGGACACTTAAAACGTGGTAAGCACTGAGACTGTGACATGCCTTCAATAGTGTTGGCCTCAGTTTTAGAATTAACATGAAATCCTGCTACAGAAATGATATATATTATTGTGACAAGTACCACTGAAGCTCACAAAAGGAAAAGATAAAAAGACGACAAGCAACTGAGAAGAAACAAGGCTCTTAAAAGTAAAAGTACTTGACAAATGGGAATTATCATACTTCTGTGGATGCAAAAGTTTGGTAGGCAGAGGTTAGTACAGTTTAATGTAACTTCTTGTGAGCTGTCCTTTGCCTGAAAATATGGCTCTGATCCTATCTACAGCATTATATTCCAAATCTCCTTTGATTTAGAAATTCTCCTTAATATTTTCATAGCTATATCTGAAAAGCACAGTTAATTCTTCAGACACTCAGGCTTACGATAATACTCTCATACTGTGGAATACAGAACTAATCTTCCTTCTATTTTTAAATAGGCCCATTAGGCTCTTGTTCCTACTGTCATAAGGATTCCACTTTGTCTCCCAGGTTCCTACCTACACATGCCTCATTAAAATTCAACGTGCATTCAACTCCCAATGACCTTAGTATTTGGAGGAGAAATACTTGTTATATCCAAAAGAAAAAGAGTACTTGAGAGAGAAAAAAGTGAAGCAAGGATCTCTGAGTGTTGATGGCTTTGTGATTTTTAATTTTTCCACAGTTGTTTTGACTACCATTTGGAGAGCATTTCATTTCCAAGAAACACAATTTCCCAATTACTCCAGAGATCCTGTTAGAAAGGAAATGGGTGAAAATGCCTCAGAGCAGTGGCACAAACTACCCATTCCCTTCTTATTTTTAGTGTGCATTAGTAATCATTTCTAGATTCTAGTATCTCTCCTATACCTGCCACTGCAATACATAACTGAAACCCTTAGTAATGATTCGTCCTTTGGTGATCAATTTCAGCAGCAGTCACAAGGCATTTTAAATGAACAGAGGCCCCATCCGCCCCTAAAGAGGCCCATCCGACAAGAAGGGACAACTGGAAGTCTTACCCTTGACGAAATGTATCTGGATGATGTAATAGACAGCACAGTATTTCCATTTTCTCTCCATTGTCCTCTGAACACCTTACACCAGCATTTCCGTAATGATCACTAAGTCAATTGATGTTTTCAAGCAAACCCCAGCCACCCACTTCGTGCTAAAAAAACCCAAATCTACCACACACGCCTGGGTCTGTTTATCACTTGGCAAGCCCCCAGGAAATGAAACGTAGACAGGAAAGTAATGTGGTTCAGGACTGAGTATAACCTTCAATAGAACAATGTTGAAATTGTTCTCTGAAATCTGTATATCACCTTCTTTAAAAGACTTTTCAGTATCCAAAGAGTCTCTTATTCAGGATCTTTGTGTCAGTCAAGCTACGTCTAAAATCTAAACAAAGCATATCACGCAGAACAGTTGGCAATGTGCTTTTTATACATTTCTTTTCAAGAGCACAAAGTCATTTAACAAATGTGAGCTTGGTGTCTTTCATAATAGTTTTTCTGTTCAATCTTAAGATATGTTTTCTTCCAGAATTGCCCTGGGGTGAAAGAACAAAGAATTAACACATTTAATTTTAATAAAATCTGAAAAGTAACAGGGAATAGTGTCAGCTATCAAACCAACTGTTATTGTCTCTCCTCTTGCAGGGAAATGCACATTTCCTGGGAGTGGAGGAGTGAGGGCTACTTTTCTACCCTTCGTCTGGGAAGGTTGGAAGTCAGATAGGGAGGTCTCCCACTGGGTTGGCTGGAGGCCATTTTTGCTCACCACAGAATTGCTTATCCATGCCTAAGCCAAAGCAAGGCAGTAACAATCAGAATCCAAAGGCAGAGAATTCCCACCTCAGTGAGCTATTAGGCTTATAACATCTGCCTAGTTACTTCTACTTACAGAGAACCGCAAACAAGTTTCAGGAAAGTGACCCCTTGGTAAAAATGTCTGGTTATTCGTAGAAGAACATGATGACTATTCCCTGTTATGATTCTCTGATTGATTTAATTGTATTGGTTTTTCAGCCTGAGATAAAATAGGCTGTCATCACCCTCCAACATTAAGAAAACAAGCATTAGGCTGAGGACTACCATAAGTTTGATGGACAAAGAATAACTACAAATAAACATGTGTGTCTTCATACATACTGTATGCATGATTAAAATATACTGTGACCCTAATCTCATTACTAGGATATAGGTACCACCTAGCAAGACCAAAGACAAATGAAAAGGCCAATTGTAATCCTGAGATGGGAATTCTTTTCAGGTGAGGTGCAGATAATTTTGGTCAGGTTGTTATCATCTATACACCAATCTCTCCATGCAAGGACTTGTGGGGAATATGGACAATGCTATGACACAAGGAAATGCTTTTGCCATTCAGGAGATTAAATTTAGATGGGAGAAGAGAGATTGTCATGTAAATAAATAACAGCTACTGTCTTCCTGGATGTCCAGACCACCCCCTATACCACCACCGCAAATACTTGCCATGGTAATTGCCATACGTATTCAGTATTCCTCAGCTAATGATTTCTTGCAGAATTTAGAAGAGGTAGTTACTGCTTGCCTAGTCCAGTGCTCCCCAAACCTTTATTATCGCCCCTTCCCAACTTCCCATGAGTTTCAGGTCACTGGGGATACTGGGTCAGGTGGTGCTGACAGTGATTTTCCAGGGAAGGCTGGGGAACTCAAAGTCCTTGATAGAAGGGCAGGAAGAGACATCACTGCTCTAGGTAGCTACATCTCTTCCCATTGCCCCTGGAAATTCTAGTAAATCAAAGTTATGAAGCATAGCAGCAGAAACAGTCCTGGAGATGCACTACGAAGATCCTGATTTGCATGTTGGCATCCCTATTAAATCGGGACACATTACAAGCCCAGAGAAGGGATTCTATGATCTCGTTCCATTTTTCATATTAAGAGGAATTTACCTAAGTAGAAACCAATACAAATCTACATTTATTGAATTCTCTAAGAACAATACCCTCTTTGGGGTATTTAGACTTCTCCTATCTATTATTGTATTAAAGTGAAGTAATTGTTCCAAAAAAGTCTGTAAACTCAGAAACATGGAAATGGTTGTTTTATTTTCCAGTGCTACAGACTTAACTTTCAGCAGAATTCTTGCCTCTCATTGGGGTCGGGCTACCTGAGCCATGCATTTAGTGGCTATATGACAATTCTGTCCTCTGGGTATTGTTCAGGGCTTAGTTCATGATTCTTATATCTAGAAAATTCTATGGCCTGAAGCCATCAGATTTAGCTAATTTTGCTTTGAGACTCAACCAGGTTCTGAGAGTATAACAATTTCAGATGCGTGGCCACAGAATATTAACTGAATGCTTTCACATCGGGTGTCCTGTAGCTGCAAGACCCAGGCGACAGCCCCTCCATGGCTCTTTGCATGCAGCAGGTGGCAGCAACACTCCGCCGACTGGCACGGCTATCCCAGGTGATGGGAATTGCCCCCACCGCTTTTCAATCCTGGTAATATTTTCTAAAGGCTCTTTCAGCATGGGGATAGACAGGCATTCTCTATACTCAAAAATAACTCTTCTACGGAAGTCATGTCAATCTCTTCTATTATCCTCCCTACTCACCATATCCCAATTGCACAGGGTTTCTTCTGCCTTATAGTCTGCTGCACATAAGGAGAAAACAGAAGCAAGTCAGTTTCACACACAAAAAGAAATCGTGATCTTCTTGAACTGCAGAGGCAAATTGAATTATTTACAAAGAGAAGCAGGAACACACATTATTTCTGCTAAAGGCAAGCCATGATTGTGTGTTTTGGACAAACTTTTTAAATGCTCTAACTAAACATACTCAATGAGAAAAGGACATTTTCAGAAACAGGAAGTTGAGCAAAAGGTAAACTTACTTTTGTGGTTTTCATAATGGTTAACTCAAATATTACTTACTTATCGTTAAAACACTTACTAAAAAGAAAAATGGGGAGTGTTATACTTTTGCGTGTTTTCCAAAATGCTTAGAAAACATGATGGTTAAAGTTTCAGTTAATTAAAAAATACTGTGTGGCACTTCTTAAGGGATTCCTGAAGAGGCATAGTTCTAGATAATTTTAAAATACCAAAGATAAAATATAACCCTCAGTCTTAAGGCAGTTACCATTTAGCTGGGAGGAAGCCTCCATGTTCACTAAAAAAGTCAAGTAGCGTAAAGTACATTCCAACCGAGTTGGTAGGACAGGACTTTAGCAAAGGGGGAGTTATCTTAGGGGTTGAGTGGGCCAAGAGCATATGAAGTGTGGAATCTAAACTTGGCTTTATAGGAGTCAGACTGGTAGAAACTGCAAGGTAAGTGATTCCAGGCAGAAGAAACAGGAAGAGCCAGCACTTGATAGTGTTGAAGTTCAAGGCCATTTATTCAGTGGGCTATTCTGGTTTAGCAGAGGCTGTATCAGGGGACTTGGAGCAGCCAAAGCTGTCCAAGAGCTTTGAATTCTAGGCTAAAGAGTGTGGGTTTTCTTCTCATGTCAGAGAGACTCCCTAAAGAGATTTCAGCATATGAGTCATATATTTAAAGTAACATTTTAAAAGGATAAATTGGGTGGGCATGTGTGAAATGAATGGAAGAAAGGAGAGCAGAGAAACAGAAGACCTGTTAGGAGTTTATGTTTCTTTGGGCACTTTAGGATGAGAATGGGCTGACTGGCATGGCAAAGCATGATGAAAGCAAGGTCATTACCAACAAAGAGGCTGTAAGGTGAGATGTAGGATTGGGCATGGAATCAAAATCTCCTATAAAGTTTCATGCCTCAAAATTAGGGAAAAGGGAAAACTAAAGGAGTTGGATTCCCACTGGAAGAACCACCCTAATCGAGGAGCAGTTATTAAATGATCAATAGATTTTTGAAGGATGTGAAAGATAACCTATTATGGCACAGCTGGCAGTCCTGCCTGCATCAGAGTACAGTTTTTCTGGGTTTCCTCAGCTTTCCTGAGTTTAATGAGTTAGCATGTAATGAAAAAGAGTTTCACGAGACTTTCAGCATAGCAATCTGTTTTATCACCACTATTTTCACCATGCTCAATTCCATCCATGAAAGACTAATTTTAGTTTAATACTTTTTTTCAGTTACAACATCAGTATCTGCTCATTACATGAAACCATTTTAAATGGATAAGAAAGAAAATTTAAATGGATAAGAAAGAATTCTAACTGCCCAAAGACTGCCAAGACCTATATGTTGTATATTTGTCTAGATTTCTTCATAAACACACACATATATATAAAGAAAATGAATTTTTACCACATGTATGTTAAAAATTCATTTTATAGATGTACAAAAAATAATTTTAGGTAAGATATATATATATATAAATTTCACCTAACATTTTATTTTCAGAAATAAAATTATATAATTCAATTGGATAATTATAGTAAATAATCTTTGAGTATTTATTTTGAGTAGCAAACTGAAACAAGGAGAGAGAGAGACAGAGAGAGACAGAGGCAGAGATATTTTAATATTGCCAAAGCCCTGGCAATTTAATAACTCAGTAATCATAATGTTGACTTTTTCAGAAATACATTGAAGAAACCATTCATATTTCTAAGGTTAAGTTAGCATAGCCAGAATTAGAAGAAATGTTTTAAGTTCTACATTCTACCTGGGTGGAAAACATTAAAATTTATTAAAATGTCTCTTCATAGTCAATGAAGAAAGAAAGAACACCTTGAAAAACTGAGAAGGGTTGCAATTGATTTTATAGCTTAAAAATAGATAGTGTGGAGCAAAATCACATACTGTGGCTCTTTGATAGACTGCGACAATAATATTCTTAATCACATTGTATTTTTACAACTATAGTTCACATAGAAATTGTCGTGTTTCTGTACTTAGTGGAAACGATAGGCTAGGTAAGGTCAGCCAAGGACTGAATTACCCCCTCTGTCCCCTGTTATTTCCCCCAATAATTTCCTTTTAAATGGAGTCCTGCATTTGAGGACAAGAATGAAAGAAATAGGGCATGCACAAGTGCAAGAGGGGGAGGGAGACAGAGTGAGAAAGAGAGAGAGAGAAAGAGAAAGCACACTTTTGTATTTGTTGCTTTTAGTAATGGTATAGCTCAATACAACCTCAATTAAATAATATTATCAGGGAATAGGAGATTGTGATTAATAGCATTTCCTGGCAATTGAGAGCCAAACCAAATTCTTTTCTTGGAAGAGGTGGGGTTGTAATGGGGAGGAGAAGTAATTAGGATGGAAATTAGTCCTTGTTGGTGAACATCTTTTAAAAATGCATTGTTTCACATTTCTGG